ATATATATAAACTTGAACGTATCAGAAATCTGTTTTGTGGCGCTAAAATGAACTGTAAGATCTCCAAAAACATTATCCAATATTCCATATAAAACTTGCTTTCGGAATTAGAATTTCAAGGGAGGTTCGCCTGCCTCACCCATTTTACTCACATTTTTATGGTGAAATTGTTTTCTGCTATCATTTCCAAATAACTTTATTTCTATATTAAGGCTAGATGCAAAAAGCTTAGTTCATTCCACATTACTTTCTAACAATCACAAATAGCGACAAGTTGTGAAAGTAAGTTTTCAATATTTAAAACTTCTCTAAAGTTGCACTACTGGGTTAAATGACTTTGTTGCAAATGTTAGTAGGAATTAATATTCTGTGCAACACAACTGACGATATGATGCAGGTAAAGTTAATGATAAAACAAATTGCTCCACGCGTCTTGTTTCTTATTTTTGGAGAAAGATTTAGCTAGAGCAAAATCCAAACTTCCAAATCCAGCTTTACTCCTGGAAGGTGACCTACAAATGGTTTGACACTCTCTATTTTATATAACCACCTGGTGCTAGATATGCCATAAAAGGAACATCCAATACGAAAACATAGCAGTAGGACACAGTTCTTTTTAAAGCTTGTGCTCTATTGTATTTGCCTGACTTATTTGGCGCATTGTCATAACCTTAAGCCCTACAACCACTCAGTGGAATAGTATTACTTTCTAACATTTTTGTAATAATTTGAGCAATTTCAGAACCATTTTTTGTCACTACAATCTACAAATTTTAAAAATCGTTTCACAATTTCATATCACAATTCATGGCAAACTAGGTAACATAAAATAAATGTTGTTTGCTCAACACGCAATCCTCGGAATTAGGAAAAATGAGAACGGCAATAATTTGCCAACCTCAATCTTTTTGAGGTCGACATCAGATCGACAAAAATTATTTGATACAATAAAACGCTTTATAATTTCGGTGTAATGTCTTTCTTTCTATTAGTAACTTAACAGAACTTTACATTTATAAAGCCACATTTACTAAACTCTTATGGGTCCTGGTGTGGCGCACCGTCTGAACCCCCTCTCATAGAGCCTGGTTTTCACTTTGAGTTTAATAACTAAAGTTTAAATTCATAATTAGTAATAGTTTGGTTGCCAAGTCATTCGATGTTTGGCTAAAAACTGGCTGAACATTCGGATTCGGTGTTCGGCCAAAAACTGGATTCGGCACATCCCTAATATATATATATATATATATATATATATATATATATATATATATATATATATATATATATATATATATATATATATATATATATATATATATATATATATTAGGGATATATATTAGATATATATATATATATATATATATATATATATATATATATATATATATATATATATATATATATCGTCTTGTATGACCACACGCGAGTATTTTATTTTAGACAACTTGAACACGGCTGAGGCAAGTTTTATAATAATCAATGCTGAAAAAGGTTCAAAAATAAAAAAAAACAAAACTAACAAAATAAAAAGAGACTGAAGAGAAAAAAATAAAAACAAATTAATAATTTAAAAAATTTTATACGGTTTTTATTTTTGTTTTTTTAAAGTGGTTGTTACATTCAGCAACAAAATTAGATAAGGCAAAGCAAAAAAAACAGTTTAAAGTCTACAATAAAAAGAATGATTTTCCTTTTCTTAACTTTTTTTTTAAGAGGATAGCAAAAATATAAATTGCAATGTGTTTGTAAAATTTATTTATAAATTGCAATGTGTTTTTAAAATTGCAATATCTAAATAAAACTTGAAAAAAAAGATTGTAAGAGAATATTTATTGTAAAATTTATTTAAATTATCATAATACGCATTATTATTCAAATAACAAAAAAAAAACTTACAGCAAGTATACCATAACTCAACCAAAATATTAAAAAAAATTTAATTGAAAAAAATGAAAAAATGACAAAAACTCACAAAAAAAAGAAAAAATAAATAAATTAATAAAAAAGAACCAGAAAAAAATGAAAAAAATAACAACTTGACAGCCTGATGTTAGTAAGGATCCTACTATTAAGGATGACTCCATAGTCATGAACACTAAGAAAAATATAGGCTTCAGAAAAACATGTTTCAGATGATCTTCAAGAAATCAAAAAATTATGTGCATATCCTTCAAAATAACTGCATTATTCTTTCTGAGCTTTGAAAGTGATAATTCAGCAGCAAATCCAATATCAATTTCATTGGGTTTCAAATGGTTCTCTTTATTTTGCAGATTAATTTTGGTGTAAAATAAATATGGTGTAAAAAGGTAGCAGGTATCATATTTAAAGTTGCCATTGTTTATAAATAAATTATAGAAATATTTTTACACGATTTAAATTGATCATGAAAAAAATAAATATAGAAAAAATTTTTTTTTTTTATAAATTAAAAAAAAAAAAAGAAAGATTTATTACTCTTGTAATAATAAAATAACAACCATAGGTAATATAAACAAAATGTGTTTATAAAAATAATCAATAGTAATATACAAAGTAATCTGTTACTTGATTCAAAACCATTTTACATAATATTAATACATTTGAAAATATCAAAGTTTCAAAGTTGCTTATTCCAAAGGTAATTTAATTAAGAGTTAAAATGTAATCAAGAGTTTTATTTTCTTATGTTAATTTTTTATTTGGTTTTTTCTTTTGTTAAGATTTTTTTTCTTTTTTTTTTTATTTAAGTTTGCTGTCATTTTTTCTTAAGTTTTTGCTTTGTTTTTCAATGCAATTTTACTACAATTAAAAAAAAATTAAAAAGTGTGGTCATATGATGGCATGCGATCACATTGCAATCCTATAAAACACTGTGGGGTATTTTTTGATTTAAAAATAAATTAATGTCAAAAATAATTTATTAAATTCAAAATAAATCAATGAGTAGCACCAACAAATACATATTAGCTTAATTTTAAAACGAGTAACTTTTCTATAAAATTACCTGACTTTTCCCAGATTATCCGATGAAAAAGCCAAAATTAATGAATTTTTCAGGTTTTCCAGGATTTCCAGGTACAGTACAAACCCTGAATAAGTGTTTTGACCTTTGAGGATGACTTTAATAAAGCGGTTAGAAAAAAAAATTTGATAATCTACTTTAACAGACACACCGTACTTAAACAAAACTTTAACAGACACATCTTACTTTAACAAAACACCGTACTTTAACAGACACACCATACTTTAACAAAACTTCAACAGACACACCGTAACTAGGCAAGCTTATGAAGAATACCAGCATGCAAAACTTTAATGAAAGTTTTAGATATATCAAGAGCAATAGTCCTAGGTTTGCTGCCTCCATCTAATGCACAATAAAATTGTTCAGTTAGCAAATTAGCCATAGAATGAGAAAATCGGAATTTTATTTTTTGTATTTTATTTTTTTGTTATTTTGTTGTTGTTGCATGGTTTATCATTGAATAAAATATTTTTATTTAGTTAAAAATAGCATAATTTGACAGTCTCAAACTCCTTAGCCTTGGGGTGGCAGGCCTTGTTAAGAATCATTACGCAGCTCGCATTTTACCTGCGAAAAGGCGATTTGCCTACGCATTCAGCAGTTTTGCGTTACGCAAAAACTTTAATCTTTTAGAATATTTAAATTATCATTCGATATCATTTATGTGACATTTATTCAGAGGAAAATAAAGTTGTAAGTAAAAGCAATTAACCACAATTGTAAACTAATAGATTTTTTGTTAAATATAACTTTATTTTAATTTCAGTTAAGTTTCAGGTAAGTTTCAGTTCTAAATACTGGTCTGAATAATGGGCTGAACAAAAGCGCATTATTTTCCAGTTTTTATTTTTCCATTATTTTACAGTTTCATTCATTATTTACAGAAGCGCATTATTCATTTTATAAATACAAGTTAATAAATAACATCAAAACAAAAAAGTTCTTTTAAACTCGAGTTATAAATGTTATGTTTGGGTTTTCCCTTAACCTTTTGCCAAAAATTTTTTTTTTAAAACAAACCAAAATTCAAACCTATTAAAAATAACGCGATCAGTAAATAAACTCTTTAAAAGCCAAACTTATATTTATTTTATTTTAAAAACAAAACTAGCACTAGAGCTATAAATATAAGATAAATAAATTTCAAAATTAAAATGATATTTGTTAAAAACAAATTCTGCTTATAACATCTTAAAACCGAAAACACTATTTTTTTGGATTGAGTAAAAAAATAGTAAAAAAACATTAGGTTTCACTGTACATAAAAATAAAATATTTTAATGGAAATAAAAAAAAAACAAAGCCGAAAAGCAGTAAATTTTGTTTCTTTACAATATTTATTTTATCAAAACCAGTTAGTGCAAACGTTTTTTTAAAAAGGGGAAAACCAATCTATGCGTTTAGTTGTAAGTACATTTAAATTCCTTTAAGATAATCAACCATAAACAAGTGTTAAACTTATATTATTAAAAAAAAAATATTAAAAAAAAAACAACCATAAAACGAATGTTTGATAGCAAAAAAATTAAGTTTAAATAAGTATAATATTTGAATACAAGAAGACTTTTTTTTAATCAACATTAAAACTTTTTATAACAATTTTGTTCAATTTAAAGCTATTTCGTTTCACAGACTAACAATAGTTTTTAATGTCATTTTAAATTTAATTACAATGAAGTAAAAACGCAACTGACGTAATTTAACTTTTAACAACGTAAATATCTTTATTGAGTAAAGTTACATTTATTCACGTTTCGCTTTTCCGTTACGCAGCGAAATCTCGTAACAAGGCCTGGGGTGGCAACTTACCTAAGGGAAAGAAAACCATGAATTTGGTTATGGATATGAGTAGATTTAGTAATGGATAAAAAGTTTTAAGACCTAGAAAGTAATTATTCTAGTTGTAGCATGATAATAAAAATACTTAGTCATCTGCAAACAGGTGGAAACATGTTCCATTTCCTAAAAATAAAAAATAAAAACATACCCAACATCAAGTAAAAAACTTGGCTCATCAGCAGGTAAATTAAGTAGTTCTAAAGCCCGTTCGGTCATTTGATTTTGAATCTCTATCATACGAGTACTAAATATAATAAAACTTCACGCTATAACTTTGATTTAAAAAATCATAAACATAAGTTATATAATATAATCATAGCCATAAATATGAAAATTTCAAATCAATGTTTTTTTTTTAAAAGAACAAACAAAAATTAATAGCTATACTAAATTAATTAAAGTCTTTCTATTTTTGAAGGAGAAAAGCATACAAATCTAAATTTTGATTAGGTTTAGCACTGTGCTCTCCCATGTAAAAAGGAGGATATTGGTCAGATTAGCTCCACATTTTACAAAACTGTTAAAACTTATAAATATACTTACTTAGAAGTGTACTTTTTGGCTTCTATTTCATTGTAAAACTAAACAGAAATAACATAGTTATTTTTTTAGATGACATGATTAATTAAAAACAATAAATAATAATAATTCTTGCCATGTACATATATCAATATTACCTCAAAACATAAGTACAAAATACTATAGATATTAACAAGTCTGGGCGTTAAAACAAATTTTTTTATTAGACCAATAATAAAAAAATGAATTAATCAAAACCTAACTTACTACTTCAGGTGGTGCTAAGTGCTCTGGTCGTTTTGAACTCATTTTTTTTGGAATGCTGTACTCTTGGTATAGAATTACATGAATTGAGATTCCCTCATATTAATTAATATGCTTAAAAAAAAACAATGTATTCCGTATTGATTTTAAGCATCATACATATATTTATGATATAAGTAAGTATAATATTATTATACTTACTTTATGTAACACATGATATAAATCAAAAACACAACTAAACCTTTTACTAAGTGCTAGAATATGTGGTTATTATGTAGATCAATTAATAAAAAAAAAATATACTTTTTTAACTTTTAAAATTAAAATTAACTTATTCTTTAATAATGCTAATAAATTTAGACTCTTTCTAAAATAATCTTTCTAAAATTTAGACTCTTTCTAAAATAAAAGTTTTTATTAATATATCTAAAATAAAAGTTTTTATTTTAGGAAAAGACTACCATTGGTTCTTTTGCTTGGATTTTGCTTTAAAAATAGCGGTCTTTTTAAACATTTATTTTTTGTGACTGATTTGCATAAAAATACAAGAATTATGTTACTTAATCTATATAAAATTAAATATTAGAATGTACTTATTATATGAAAGATAAAATGTTAGAATGAGCATACGGTTTTCAGTGATTTTCCGGGGTTTGCGAAAATAATGATATTAATTTTGCCGGTTTTGAAACAAAATCTTCGAAAATACCAATGATATATTAAGAATAATTTTAATATATTAATAATTTAATATATCATTAATAATTTCATTTTTAAATAACATAAATAAAATTAATTAAATTTTTTTTTTTAAATTAATAAATTAAAAAATTAAATTAAATAATTATAACTAATAATTTTAATATATATTAGGAAAATACTATTGAAAATATACGAACTAAAAATTCTCATAAGTTTTTGGACAATATTCGTAAAATCAAAACCAAAGCAAAAACTCAGATATTTACGATTAATAATTCGCAAAACATAAAAGATATCATAAAAGAGTTCAAACAACATTTTTGAACTCTATAGAGTTCAAAAATGTTGTTTGAATTGAGTAAACTCAATACGCCGCTCATTACAAATAATAACCACAATCCTCTTAAAATCCCGCCTCTAAGTAATGAGCCTAATTCACTTATTATTACATCAGCTAATATTATAAACTGCATATCACAACTAAATAATTACAAGTCTCCAGATAGCTTTAGGGTATTAGCCATTCCCATCAGTTTGGTTTTAAAAAATTAACTCTGCGCTCCACGCAGAATTTTTATTGAACGAAACCATTAAACCTTTTAATAACAATAACACGCCTTTATATATATATCTGTTTGTAGTCTAGATGCAAATAAAACTTTTGATACTTGCAACTGGGATTTGCTATTTGAGAAGCTCTGTTTCCAAAAAAAACTTCCTTTATCTGTGGTATACGCAATCACATCGTTATATTGTTTTGGTACTGTAAATATATCCTATCAGGGAGTTACCTCAGATAAATTCAGTTTGTCACAAGGAGTGCAACAAGGATCAATTTTATCGCCACATTTATGTAGCATCTATACTGAAAACATCTCAAATGAAATGGTCTCAGAATGTAACGTAGGGTCGACAATAAATGACATCTATACTGGTGTCATTGCAAACGCAGATAATGTAATTTTGCTAAGTCTAACAATCTCTGGTCTGCAACTGAACTGAAAAGTCAAGCCTCATTCTACTCCATGGTTTTCTCCTTCTTGTGCGGCTGCTATATCCAATCGTAATCATTTTTTTAAATCTTTTTCAAAAGAACAACTCTCTTGAGAACAAACGACTATTTATTATTGCAAGAAATTGATGTAAAAAGGTGCTTTCTAACACTAAACTCTATTATTCTCAGTTCACTAAATCTCGCATCTTATCGCAGAAGTTAGGCTCTAAAGACTTTTGGAAAATCTTCAACAGCATTATTAACAAGGGTAGATCTAACATTCCATCTCTTTTTCATGGGATTGATCTTATTACCTCTCCCAAGGATAAGGCAGAACTATTTGCAAAAAATTTTTTTTCTAATTTCACTCTTAAATCTTATGGACATTCTCTTCCTTCCATTCCAGTCAAACAGGTTGACCCATTGTTAGACATTCAAATCACTCCGGCTTCTGTTGCTAAAGTCATATCTCAATTAACTCGTCTACAGCTTGTGGTCCAGACAACATTCCTGTCACAGTCTTGCAGAATTGTTCTCCAGAACTTTCTTCAATACCCTCTAAACTATTTAACAAGTGTTTGACTGAGTTTTGTTTTCCTGCTAGTTGGAAAATGGCATCTGTGATTCCAATATTCAAAAACTCTGGAGAAAATTCTGACCCCTCCAATTATCGTCCGATCAGTCTTCTTTCTGTTATTAGCAAGGTCTTTGAGTCTTTGATCAACAAATTCCTCACATCTCATCTTGAGTCATATAAACTAATGTCAGACAATCAATACGGTTTTCTATCCTCTCGCTCTACAGCCGACTTGCTAACTGCTGTAACTGAAAGATTTTATCGTGCATTAGATGGAGGCGGTGAGGCTAGGGCTATTGCTCTTGACATATCTAAAGCTTTTGACAAAGTTTGGCATGCTGGTCTTCTCCATAAGCTTGCTTCATATGGTGTTTCTGGGAAAGTTTTTGAGATTATCAAATCATTTCTTTCTAACCGGTTTTTTAAAGTCATCCTTGAAGGCCAACACTCTTCTTTATTTCCAGTAACTTCTGGGGTTCCCCAAGGTTCCATCCTGGGCTCTGTTTTGTTTCTTATCTACATAAATGATCTTCCTGACAACCTTTCATCTAAAGTAGCTCTTTTTGCTGATGACTCAACTTTATACTCCTGTCTTGACAAAAAGTCTTCTCTTTTCGATCGCCTAGAACAAGCAGTTGATCTTGAACCGATCTCACTTCAGTAATAGATTGGGGTTCACAATGGCTTGTGAATTTCAACTCTAAAAAAACCCAGTTGCTTTCTGCAAACAACTACCGTAATATGGTCAACATTCCTATATTAATGAATGGCAATCCTCTTACTGAGTCCTCCTCTTTACGTCTTTTTGGATTATCGCTTACTACTGACCTTTCATGGAAACCATATATACAATCGATTGCTAAATTAGCTTCTGCTAAGGTTGCTTCTCTTTATCGTGCTCACCATGTCCTTACTTCTGATTCCATTCTCTACCTCTACAAATCTCTTATTCGTCCCTGTATGGAATACTGTTGTCATATTTGGGCTGGTTCTTCTAACGATTCACTTTCTCTTCTTGACAAGGTCCAAAAACATTGTAATTGTTGTTGGATCTGGACTATCTGCTAAGCTTGAACCTCTTTCCCATCGTCGTAAAGTTGCATCTCTTTCTCTTTTCTACAAATACTATCAGGGCCACTGCTCAAAGGAGTTATCATCTTTAGTTCCATCAACTAAAATTCACTCTCGTTTTACTCGTCATTCAGCTAAGTCTCATTCGTTTACTGTATCTGTCCCTGCATGCTCTAAAAACTTTTATTCATCTAGTTTTTTTCCCCGCACTTCAATCCTTTGGAACTCTCTCCCATCTTCATGCTTTCCTGACTCATACAACCTTCAACTTTTCAAGTCTTCTGTCAACCGTTTCCTTGCTCTATAACTCAGTTCTTTTTTTTCCTAGTAACTCCCAACTTAATAGTGGTTGCTTGCAGCCTTGTTGGGAGTGAATGCAAATAAATAAAAAAACTATGACATTAGTTTTTTAAGAAACATAGACGCTGTTAGAAGAGCAGTTTTAAAATCATTTTTTTGTATTTCAAAGTATAGCAAAAACTACCTACATTCTTTTTTTAAAATAAAAGATATTTCAACTACTCTTCTTCAAAATAAGGTAAACCTATTAATTAGGCTAATAAAAAATCAAATTTGCTATTTGTTGATAATTAGTAAATTACTGGCAACACAAAATAAAAAATCATTTATAAACAAAGTGATTGCTATATGTAAAAATCGTGGGTTGAACATCTTTCAATGCATGATAGAAGGTAAAAAAATTAAATTCACACTACCTCAAGAAGAACAGCAAGGTATATAAATATACTATATTAATATTAAAAGAAGGGTTCGAATTATGGAACTTAAAAGAACAAAAAGAAAAATTTTAAACAATGATGGAGGAGAATATTCCTAAAATAGATCAAACCGTCTAGTTGGTCTAGTTATTGGCATTAAAGACAAATATTTGGAGAAACACGACTGGCCTTAATTTAGTTTGTAATTGTTTTAATATAAATTACTTTACCTGTAACTTTATTACTGTGTGTTTGTGAGAAAATAACAATAATAAAAAAAATAATAAGGAAGCGAAAAAAATTAGGAAAAATCAAAAAACTTGTTAAAAAAAACATCTAAATACACATGTATCGATTCCGTTAAAAAAAAAGGAAAAGGAAGAAGTAAAAAAAACACTGATCTATATAATAACTGGATAGAGTATCTCCTGATAAATTTCGAAATATTTTAAGCCAAAAGACGCTATATTGGAAAGCCCCAGAATTTATAAATCCGTAATTGCGTTAAACTCATATGCGCTTAAAACACAGATTTCGCTTAATAAATAAAAAAAGCAAAAACCTTATAAATGCATTGACTATTAAAAACCGAGAAAATCTGATGTTATATGTTCAGATTATTTCATGGAGAGTGACATGTATACAGAGTGGCCAGCTACTTTCAAGAATTAAATTCTCTGACTTTTTATATTTTTCCCTGACTCAGTTATATTTTGAAGTGTGAATTTTTAAGTTTTGTTGTTTGGGAGTAGTAAAAAAAAACCTTTAAAAAAAATAAAATTTTCAAAAAAGACGTTTTTCCCTGATCTCCCTGACTAGAAAAAAATTCTCTGACTTTTCCATGATTTCCAGTTAGCTGGCCACCCTGGTATAACATTATTATAATAGCACGCAAGTGTAAATTAGTATGCACCTTTTGATTCTTAATTGCCCTCTGCAAAATGCCTGAGGCTTGTAACATATTTGCAAGGTAAACAGCTTACAAGTTTGCTGTATGAATCATTAGTTAGGCAATGTGATTGTAACACAACCTAAAGGTTCATTAGGCAACATATAGCAAATCTTT